GGATGTTTGTAGCCTAAACTGCTGAACGGATTCCGATTTAATTTGCCATATATGTAAAGAATAGTCTGAAAGAAGACATAAGCTATTTGCTTTTGTTTTTTAATTTCACGCAGGCGAAGGCTTACTCTAATTATGAATGTTAGTATTAAAAGATCAACGGAAGATAGTTGCATGAAGTAGAAGCAATTCCACGTTTCGTATGATGAGTGTGGTACCGGAGCATTAATCTTAGTCCCTTTTCCTTTCCACCCTTTTCTTAAGAGGAAAGGATGGGAAGGAAATGTAGATTTCATGGTGGATGAGACGCTTAAGATGGGGAAATGTCTTCTTTAAGTGCGTCTCTTTTTCCGTCAATTAAGGGTAGACGACGCATCTGCAATTGCGGATGTCTAAGGGCAGCGGTCGCTTTCCGTTTCGGTGGATTCAGGTGGCCGCTTGCTGGTTTGCCACCTTATATTATAAAAAATAAGTGTGTAATATTATAATATAGTGCTTATTGTGTCTTGTCTACGTGTTATCTATCCGAAAATATAAAATTTAACTTAAATATAGTATTTGTTCGTCACCTAGTAAGCAGTCGCAGAATCCGGTCTCACCGGTCCCAGCCGGAAACTCGGCGACCGACCTTCATTGCGTAATTCCAACGCTACGAGAATCTCTTCTCTACACTCTATTGTTGAAAACTTTAACTCAGTCGAGGACTTTAATTTCCTATCCATTTTAATTAAACATTTTACCCTCGTAATGTAATCGCCTGTCAAAGCGGTAAGCTTTAATTCTCCAACTGAACCATACCGCTTGTTGCGGGCGCACATCTTTGAGTAAACATCACACGACTGTTGTGCGATTGTCGATTGTTTCGCGGCCTTCAACTGTTTAGTTGCACAATTAAAAATCGAGTAGTGCAACCTCCATATAATCTCATAGGAATTAAAGCGGGACTAAACAGTTGTGCGATAGTTTAGTTTGAGGTGTGTCGTCGTTTCTGCTATTCATGAATAACGAAGTCACGGTACTCTACCAATTGAATTGTAGTTTTGTTTTTGCAGCGTCGTCGACCGCGATCACGTCCGCTTTGAACTTGACTTGAATATTTTTGTAAAAACCGACTTCCAAACAAAATACACTAAAAACAAAATATTCTTAAAAAAACAGTACACTAAAAAGTAACGGAATAATTCCTTGAAAATAGTAAACCTCCCTTATTGTTGCTGTTATGTTTATATTGTACAATTATTATTACTTTGATGTCGGTGTCAGCCAAGGTATGCAGTGATATATATACGTAAGGCTTTCTACATTTTTACTATAACAATTGACAATTGAAAGTATAGTAACGTTTAAGTAATGAATCTACATTGACTGACGCCGACTTAAGAAAACTTAATCTTAAAAATAATCTTATAAACAAATATTATTCTTATATCTCTTTGAAAAAATAAATACAATACCGCAGTTAACTACTCAAGTTAAACTAGCCAAGTAACCTAAATATTTAAACCTCGTATCAACACGGCATAAGAAAGTTATTTGAAGTACTTTTGTTCCCGCCTATCCTGTCCGTTATCGGTCATTGGTTTGTTAGATAACGAAACTCCATCTAAGGTGTGTCGGTCACTTTAATGGTGTCATTGAAAATTGGTCAAACCAGAAAAATAAAGTAAAATTGATATACTTAAACTTAACACCGATGTTTATTAACTAATTATAGATATATTCCGCTGCTTAAAACACTTAAAATAACTCTGTATTTGTCATAGATAATAAGAGATGGTGGTACATTTTTGTGCAACTGTTTAGTCTCGCTTACATTCCTATGTTCTACTAGCTGTTCCAGTACGGCTTCATCCGTTCATTCATTCATTTTATTGTTTACATTTGTCAAATTTTCAATAGCAAATATCAAAATGACATGACATGACAAACCTTGGCAATCTTGCTTCTTTCATGTCTGCAGCAACGTATGGTCTCTTTCCCACATTAGGGTTTTTATCCAAAATATTTACCTCCTAAGTTTAATGGCGTGAAAATATATAGCCTAAATCGTGACGTAAGTGTAGGGCTTTTTATTAAAAAAAGAATTATTCAAAGATATATTGTAATTGTTGACATCTTAGGCAACAAAGTGTGTGTTTACGCTTTATAATAATAGTATAGATTATGGAGGTGCGCTACTCGATTTTTAGCTGTACAACTAAACAGTTGAATTGGATATGAAACAATCGACAATTTAGTTAAAGTTGAGCGTACTTTCAAACCAACCTTATCTTAGTGTATGGTCTAGTCCCAGTTGGGATATGTATGACCTACAGACAGTTGCAACGACAATAGAAACCCACGGTTATGTATTTTTCCGTCAAAGTGCTAGTAGAAGATAGTAGAACTCATTATAACTTCTTCGCAATGTAGGACCAGCTCGCCTCCAGCAATACCATGACCACAGACGACAAGCGTGAAATAAAAGAAATTCCGTTTCGTCTGTGTGCCGGTTGCTTAATTTTAGTCTTTTTCCCTTTTCCACTCATATCGTAGAAGTTAAGGATAGGGGGAGGATTTGATGGTGGATGGGACGTAGAGGTAAGGGAAAATCTGTGCGTTATAATATTTGTCGACTAAAGGTTGATTACGCCTCTACAAATGCGGTCGATTTTTTGGCGAATTTCGATGTCTGCTTGCTTATTTATCACTTTATAATAAAAAAACATAGTCTATTCAATGATTCTTCTAAACAATAGAGGCAAATCTTTCTCATTGCTTTCTCCGACTCGACGTCAGAGAGTTGGCAACTCGACATCGTGATGTGAAGAAAGCGATACACTCCATTGACTATGTTACCGTAAAATTGTTAATAATGTCAACTTATATAGCGAAATAAATTGATGGAGAAATTGTTAGTTAAAACATAGATGTATAAAAATGATTGCTAAATTACGTCAATTGAATCTAGGGCCTAGCTTTAGTGACCACTTCCGTAGAGCTGTGAGGTGTCGATGACCCTGCTTCGGATCGCCCACGCGTCGCATCTCTTATTGTCACTTCCATTACGAGGTCTCTAACCCTGCAAACAATATGTAAAATAAACTTAGATTATCGTTAAACATACTTTGCTAAAACTACGTTTTATTAACATATTAGCTTTCGCCCGCGTGGAATTAGAAAAAAAATTAAGTAGCCTATATTTTTCCAGATTTTGCTTTACATCTGCGTCAAATTCCAATCAGATCCGTTCAGCAGTTTAGGTTTCAAACTTTGACAATCATCCATCCATCTAAACTTTAGCATTTATAATAATACTAAGATACTAGTTTCCCGCGATTACGTTCGATTGCGATTAAGTAAATGGTTGTTCAGTTTACAATTCCTATAAAATATGCTCACGTCGCTCAGCGTCTGTGGCTCAGTGGTTTAAGCACTTGACTTGTAATCTACAGGTCTTGGGTTTGAATCCCGCCATATACCAATGTGATTTTCGATTTTTCATATGTACATAATTTACCCGACGTTCTTACGGTGAAGATATTCAAAGATATGTGTATAGTCAACCAACCCGCAGTGGGCCAGCGTGGTTGACTATGGCCTAGTCACCCTAATTTACGGTAGGCTCCAAGCCCTTTGGTGGGGACGTATAGTGAGCCGGTGACGCTCACGTCGCGAACCATTTGCATATCGCGCGGCCAGTTTTGCTTCCTAGAGCTTGGGCGATGCTTACAATGCAGCATCCATCTGTACTATACTAAAAAGAAAAATTTGAATTTTTGTACATATTGAAATAACTCAAAAAATACTGGACCGATTTTAAAAATTCCTTCACTGTTAGAAAGGTAATTTATCTGCGAGTAACGTTGGCTGTATTTTTAAATTTCACGCGGTTGAAATCGCGAGCAGCAGCTAGTATAATAATATGTTTCATAGTAATAAGATAACTCACCCATTATACCCATTAACATCGGCTGTTATCCACCAAAAGTTCTGTCAAATCCATTCGTTGATTCAAAGTGGCATAGAATTTCACCTGTGGCGTCTAATTTCTTTTGCCTTTTTAGTTATTTTTAGAAAGAGCATGGTATTTGATACATCAGTGTATTAGGCGTGAAGCAGTATTTATAAAGAAACGTTACGCGCACTGAATAACTAGTTAATTAACAATTGCAGAAACTGTTTACGTAAGATGTGTGCGCACTCTACTGAATACCGTTAGAGCGCTATATTTTTAACATATATTAGACAAATTCTCTTAACTATAAAGTTATAATAAAAAATGAATTTTGCTGTGAAAATTAATTTCATATTTGTGTAAAATGTCGTATCACACACGTAATACAATTATGACGTAAACACGCATAAGTCCGAAATGTTTCTTATGACAGTTTGGTCTATATAGTTTGTCAAAATAAATTAGATTAGTTTGATAAATGACGCATATGAAGTATAGAATTAAATTTGTATGAAAAATGCCGTACTTGATAGACAGGTATCGTAGTGACGAAACAAACACCCAGCGAACAATTACGAACTATCGATATTCGGTTTAAATAATTATCGAACTCAACTAAAATTATTATTTTCTTATAAAGTAATTTAGAGAATAATTCTAGTATTGATTATAGTGTAGAGAATTTATAGATGACAGAAATAATAGCGAAATCCAATTCGATTACGTACGGCTGTAGTAGTAATAAACATTTATTTACCTTCGTTCGGTTATGGTCATTATTAATCTGAGAAAACAGTGTTTTTTATTTCATAAATTATAATTATAAATCTATCGATTCCAACTTCTATAGGAATAAAAATCGAAAATCGTTTACATTCATGACTGATTTTACACAACCCATCCCTACTAAATTTGAAGTGAATTGTCAAACTAATCTAACACACTATAGTCAATCCTTAGTGGGTAGGGAATTTAATTCTCGCACTGCAAGATTCAATTTAGAGTCGATGTTTAACAAGCTCATTTTAATATAACAAAAGAATAACTATTTATATATGTTTTCCAGTGAATAGATAGTTTTAAATAATCCTTTCTAACTGGTCCATCCACATAAAATAACATTTAAAACAAGTAGTGTACAGACTAAAGAGGTGTGTGAAAGAAATCGTGTAAACAGTGCCAAAGTAAACCAAATAAGTGTGTTGGGGGTGAGGGGTGAGGGTGGCTCCATGACGTCACGATGCAGAGGCAGTTAAGCAATGTCAGTGTGCACTCCTACCAGGATTACCAGCCGACCAGGAGATTTGGTAAATACAAATGCTGAGGAATACTCAATCACCGTTATTTCCAGTTACCATAAAGGCATTCAAGAGCTTAGAATGCTGTTCACGTGATTCGTAACTTTCCCTCTTCTATCTATACAAATTGGGGTGTCTGTTTGTGATATAAAAAAAAAACAGATTTCGGGAAGATGATGTATTCTGTCTGTCTGTCCGCAAGCCGCGTTTGTTCCGGGTAATCTCCGAAACGGCTGGGTCGATTTCGACCGAACTTTCACTGAACACACAGCTACCCTGACATGGACGGGCATATTATAGGCTACTTTTTTTTTAATTCTGCGCTATCTAAATGGCGACCGGACTGCTATCTCCGGAACGGGTGGACCGATTTGGACGGGACTTTGACTGAAATATAGCTGGTAGAAGGTAGATGCACGCGGGAATCTGATAGATGACTCTTTAATCTGCGCTAGCCAAGTTTGCGGGCGACAGCCGTTAGGAATATATGTCTGCCTAAATAATCAATTTAAAAGAGTTTCACGTGTGATTTTCCGGCGCGATTATCTGTCATTTGCCACTTTTATATGTAACATTCATAGTAGCCAGTATTTTCCTTGGCCACCAAAGAGTATACGTGAAATATTTGTTTGCAGGGGCGCAGTATGAGCCGGGCGGGTACGCGGCCGCGGTGCAGCAGCGCAGCAACATGACACAGCGCGAGGACGCCCTCAAGTTCGAGCAGGGCCGCATTAAGGCGCTGCAAGAAGAGCGCTTGCATATACAGAAGAAAACATTCACGAAATGGGTCAATTCATTTCTACAAAAGGTCAGTAATATAATGCAATAGTAGTAGATGGAGACCTAGAAAGAGATGGATTGCATGAAAGGTGACCTGATCAAGAAAGGAGTACCGGGATGACGTATGATAGAGTTATTTGGAGGACGAAAACCCGGTACTGACATTACGGGGGTAGAATAAGGTAGTGGAAATGTATAGACGTTTTCAAATATCTTGGTAGCTTTGAATAAAACAAAGTTTAGCGCAATGTTTTAAAATGAGGTGGGGTTCTGTATTAATCATAATTCGTCATCTGTTGCGGCGGCGGGCCAATATGCACCCCCAATGATATCTCTTCCAGTACGTGGCAGGTCTTTCTAGGCCCACCAGCAAATAGCATATATTAAATTGCTTTAACTTTGTTGAAACCTAATATGTATACACTTTATGTAATATGATGTATACACCTGAGATTATCGGTTCGCACTAGCGAGAGTGACATAGTATTCTTCGTCCGCACTAGCTTCTGTACCGCGTCAGGCATATAACGGCCTGATACACAGTGAACGTATTAAGGTTCACAATTCGTATATCGTAAAAATATCAAGATATTCCAGTATCATGTTACAGTGCACGCGTAGTATTAGAGTCTCACGCTATCTTGCCCGGGTTAACTCAATATGAATTCCAAAGGAAATATAACAATGATTTCATACGTACAATAACAAAATGCAATTATCAGTTGCTATCGCGATGGCTCATTGGCCACAAGTCACGCCTCTTACCTAGTATTCGGTTCGATGATATTTATAGAGGCGTTACTCTTTAACGCGATTACAGTACACACCTTTGACTAAACTATCGCACAACTGTTTAGTCCCGCTTTGATTCCTATGAGCTTAAAAGTAGCACACTACTCGATTTCCAGTTGTGCAACTAAACAGTTGAATTGGCTGCGAAACAATCGACAGTCGCACAACAACACGTAGCAATGCAATTAAGTGATAAAGACATTAGAGTACTAATGCTATACACTAGTCATACAAAAAAATAGATAAGCGGATTGCGTTTCTTTTTTTTTATAACATAATGTGGCAAACGAGCAAGCGGCCACCTGAATCCGCCAAAATGGGGAAGCGACCGCTGCCCATAGACATCCGCAATCGCAGATGCGTTGCCTACCCGTATCCGACAGAGAAGGAGACGCACATAAAGAGGATATTTCCCCTTCCTATGCTTGCCCTCCACCGTCAAATCCACTTCCCCTTCCCATCCTATCCTTATAAAAAAATGGTGGTAGAGAAAAGGACTTACATTAGGCCTCCGGCACCACACTCATCAGACGAAACACGGAATTGCTTCCATTTCACGCCTGTCTTCTGTGTGATCGTGGTATTACACCGGGCGTGTCGGCCCTGCAGTGCTAAGATGTTAAAGGGGGCACTACCACTGTTACATTCTTTGTTGTTTCGCTTGAAGAGTTTGTATGATGGCTTAATTCTACTCCTCTGTAATAGATAATAGCTGTTCCCTTACAGCTTCATCCACATGAAATTATAAAAAAGTGTTTTCTTGTATACATTTGTGAAGTTTCAATTGCAAAGGCACCAAAAAAGTACAAAGTACTCTGTGAAAGGCACAAATGACAACGAATGCCTTTGACATTGGTTACTCGTAACAATTACCATGGCAACCTTGCTTCTTTGATGCTTATTACCTTGTAGGATTTATCCCTTTCCCGCACGACGGTTTTTTCCAATTTATTTATCCCCTAAGTTTAATCGCGTGAAAATATATAGCTGAAAGCGTGTCGTAAGTGTAGGGCTTTTTAATCTATACTTTTATAATAAAGCGTAAACACACACTTCTTTGTTGCCTAAGATGTCAGCAATTACAGCATGTTTTTGAATAATTCTATTTTTAATAAAAAGCCCTACACTTATGTCACGCTTAAGGCTATATATTTACACGACATTAAACTTAGGGTGTAAATATTTTGGATAAAAACCGTAATGTGGGAAAGAGACCATAAATTGCTGCCAAAATCAAGAAAGTAGGATTGCTAAAGTTTGTCATGTCATTTTGACATTTGCAATTGATAACTTGACAAATGTAAACAATAAAATAAAATTTTCATAATTTCATGCGGATGAAGTCGCACGGGAACAACTAGTGAAATAAGAATTATTAAATGGATACTATGATTGCTGACATACGCCACGAAGTAGTTGTTGTTTACGCTTTATTACATTAGTATACAAAGGATGCGAATAGTGATAACTTGGTAGGGTAAGGGATGTACAGGAAAGGGAAATTGCTTTTCTATACAACCACTATCCTTAGAGATAGTCAACACTTTCTACAGACATTTTTGTGTCTAGGTTTTTTAATTAACCATGTAATGTTGCGTGATATGTGATGAATGCACTCTCTTATCAGTTATGTTATCAGTGCAGAAAGGCAGTGCAATGCACTACGGGTCCCGACCCACAGATAATTGCATGCAAATTGTTAATACATTATTTCATTACCATTTACATGTACTGAGTTATCTTTAAAATATATTTTTATAATAAAAATATGGAAATGCCCGCGTAATACTCGTATATTGAATACCGAATGATGTCGCTGTGTTAAATTTTATAAACCATTTAATGCCTAACGTATGGACATGTTATGCGACGAGATGATGGGGACATAAACCAGAAAGTGTTAAGATTGAATGTGGATGGCTACAAAGGAAGAGGAAGACCGAAGAAAGTATGGATTGTGTGAAAGATATGCTTAAGAAAGGAGTGGTTTCAGATATGACGGCTGATAGAGATGTATGGAAGAGCAGCATATACTGTGCCGACCCTCCGTAAGGAATAAGGGCAAGTGGATAATTGTTTAATGCATAACGTAGTTTCAAAATGATTATTTACCGCGACTTTCCGTGTGGTATTAAAAATAGATTTCAATTTTTTTATAATAAATGGGGGCAAACGAGCGGCGAGAACACCGAGGTGGATAATTACGGAGTATTTGGAAAACTGAAATGAATCTATCCAAGTGTTACAACAATTAAAAAAACCAGACGAAATGTGTAAAGTCGTTAAAATTGTTATTGTAAAGTACGATGCACGATTCCTTGTAAACATGTGTCATATAATAATTGACATTGTCCTCTATGATGTCATAGTCCGTTTTCCTACAACTGTAGAAACTAGCGTTAGCCCGCGACTCCGAACGCGTGTAATTAAAATAAAAGTAAGCCTATGTGTTATTACAAACTTCTTACTAATATTATAAATGCGAAAGTTTATATGGATGGATGTTTGTTTGAATTTGTAGCCTGAACAGCTGAACGGATCTCGATGTAATTTGGTATAGATGTAGAGGATAGTCTGGAAAACACATAGGCTACTTATTTTGTTTTTTAAATTCCGCGCGTACGGAGTCGAGGGCCAAGGTAGTATCATTTGGTCACTTTTATTCGTCGTAATAGCGAAGTGAAGATTTTCCCTTCCTATGCGTCTCATTCTCTTATAATGTGGCTGAATACAATTACTGTATATGAATTTGTTAGCATTTACAATATAAATAATGTTTAGGTATATCGCAATGATGTCACCGTGTCTGATCTAATACGCTAGAGGTCACTTCACGCGTTGAGATAATATAGTTATAATTAACTGTTAAGTTATAAATAGCTGAATAAATCATCTTCCTCCTTATCCCACTCAAGGACAAAAACCTGTGCCCCTAGCACAGGTTTTTGTCCTCCAAACTCTAGTATACGTCATCTCAGTTACTTTTTGATGATGTCACCTTTCACACAAAACATCTCTAGTAAGTCTAACCCTACCGGTGTACCACACTAATAATTAACGTTCTCCTTGTAACATCCGATTCATCCCTCCTCATAACATGCCCCAAGCTAACCTTGTACTCCTTACTTCTCTACCAAGGGGGCTACTCTCAGACTTCTTCTAACTCATTTCGTATCTTATCCATTCGTGTTATATAAGATTTTTATTAATTGAATGATCCTTCTTTGTTAATAAATAATTAAAATCGTGAATATAATCGTCCCTTTCATTCTCTTTGAAGAGATAGAGACGACTAACTTATGCCGAGTTCCATTGCCCTATAGCCTAAATTATTTGACCTATTTTGTTGATTGAAACGTCATTCGATTCCCCGAAGTACAAAACCGTTTTAGGTAATAGTACCCTGTTTACGATAACGATAGGAACATGTTGAGTTAACTTTTTCTAAGCAGAATAATTTTTATCTATCTATATTATTATAATAAAGCGTAAACACACACTTCTTTGTTACCTAAGATGTCAGCAATCACAGCATGTTTTTAAATAATCTTGTTTTTAATAAAAAGCCCTACACTTATGTCACGCTTTAGGCTATATATTTTCTCGCCATTAAACTTGGGGGTAAATATTTTGAATAAAAACCCTAATTTGGGAATGAGACCATATGTTGCTCCCAACATCAAGAAAGTAAAATTGCCAAAGTTTGTCATGTCATGTCATTTGGTATTGATAATTTGACAAATGTAAACAATAAAATAAAATTTTCATTATTACATGCGGATGAAGCCGCACGGGAACAGCTAGTACTAATATAAAACGTAAACACTAGTTATGCAGGATATCAGGATGTTTTTTTTATGATTCTTTTTGAATAAAAAGCCCTACATTACACTCTTAAGCAATTAAACTGGCTTTGAAACAATCGACTACTACAAAGTTGTGGGATTGTGTATTCAATGTGCGCCCGCTCTAGAGTGACCGTATTAGTGGCAGTTTTGGCAATGATTGTACGCGTCACCCCGAGCTATACAATGCTAATGCGACATATCCGTCTGTGTGACGTTGGACGACCTTTTAGGACATGACTACATGATTGTATTATAAAAGATTGACGCCGTATATTATAAGCTAGCTGTTTCTTGCGACTTAGCCCGCGTGAAATTAAAATACATAGCCTGTTACTCACAGATAAGTTACCTTTCTAACTATGAAAGAATTTTTAAAATTGACCCAGTAGTTTTTGAGTTATTACAATACATACAAAAATACAAATCTTTCCTCTTTATAATATTAGTATAGATACGAAAGTTTAGATGGATGGATGTTTGTAAGAGTTTGTACCCTAACCTGCTGAACGTATCTCGATGAAATTTGGTATACATGTAGAGGACAGTCTGGAAGAATACATACTCGTAGGCTACTTGCTTTTGGTTTTTTAATTCCACGCGAACAGAGTTGTGGACGAAAACTAGTTAACAAATATTTTTGTTTTTTGAAATAGGTTTTTTATTAAAAAAAACTACGCGATTTTTAGCTAGTTTGTGTATTCTATGTAAACGATGATGCACTTGTCAATACGTAAATTGTCAAATGCAATGCAGAGAGATCGAGCGGAGAAAGTGTGTCGCGCGGCCGCTGCGCCGGCGCATTTATACTTCGATCATATTGTATGCTAACTTATTCATTCGATTAAGATGCATATTAAGTAATGACGCAGTTGTGACTGTAATTACAAATTCAGAGATGTTTAGTGTAAAGAATACTTTGACTGTGTCGCTCTTTCTAGCACTTGTGATATATCTTCTATCTCTCTTGTGTAACGAAATGTATGTCGTTGATCGAGCTTATAGATTAAGGGCCTGTCGCATTAAATTGTAAATTGTCTGATAATGCAACATGTAAAATATCTGATTGAAATATCAGATTTTATTCCCTCATTTTTAAGCTATCTGAACCTCTATCAGCCAGTGGTGACCCTAAATCTCTTCTACACTATGCTAAGTCCCATTTACCTAATTGTTCAGGCGCGGATGGAGGTGGAGGACTTGTTCGTGGACCTTGGCGATGGTCGGCGGCTGCTGAAGCTGCTGGAAATCATCAGCGGGGAGCGACTGCCGCGCCCCAACTCGGGTCGCATGCGTGTCCACAAGATAGAAAACGTCAACAAGAGTTTGGGCTTCCTACATACTAAGGTCAGTTTCAAAGAGATTAAAATGTATAGAGTAGACACTTCGCTTGAAACATTTTTCTACATACTAATAGTATGCGAAAGTTTAGATGGATGTGTGTTGGAGTTTGTAGCCTAAACGGCTGACTGGATCTGGATATAATTTAGTATGTATATAGAACATAGTCTGGAAGAACACATAGGCTATATGGTTTTTATTTAAATGCCACGCGGACGGAGTCGCGAGCGACAGCTAGTAGAATTATAACAAAAGATGGAGCTTATAATTTTGTAAAATGTTACAAGAGGTGTCACAAAACTCGACAACTGATATAATACCTTTCAGAGAAAGTACCGTTTAATTTTTTATTGCCTCGTCTATGTATTTCTTATGTCTGGTCACACTGGAAGACACTTTTCAAAGACTATCTTGTGATCAGTTCAGAAACTGATACACACTTCATTTGTTTTTAAAATGTATCATTGCTTAATTTTCTTACTTGGTTTATTTATTAACAAAGATAAACTACTAAAGTGTATCTATACTTCTATACTATTATAATAAAGCGTAAACACACACTTCTTTGTTGCCTAAGATGTCAGCAATTACACCATATTTTTGAATAATCCCTTTTCTTAATAAAGAGCCCTACACTTACGTTAAACTTTAGGCTATATATTTTCACGCCATTAATCTTAGGGGGTAAATATTTTGGATAAAAACCCTAATGTGGGAAAGAGACCAAGGAAGCAAGGTTGCCATGGTTTGTCATCGTGTAATGTCGTTTTGACATTTGCAATTAATAATGTGACACATGTAATAAAATAAAATTTTAAAAATTCTATGCGGATGTAGTCGCACGGGAACAGCTAGTTACTAATAAAAGGTAGACACATTACGGAATTGGCAAGTATATAAAGAAAAAGATCAAAACAATTTTTATCTACATGTTAATTTTACAATCTCACATACCAAACAATTAAAAATATATAAATAGGTAAGAAATGCAATATTATGTATATGACGTCATTGGATTAGGCGCTATCAGAATACTGAAGGCCGGCTTATCAGTGTCTTATCACATATCTAGTGTATCACGCGGCTTGTTAGTAGCTAGTCGATACCTGCTGTACGCAGACTTCAGGGGGCCTATCACGAAAATCATATCATATCATTGACGTTACGAAAACGTTCTCACAAATATTCGTGATATACCCTCTGTTATAAACATTAAAACATCGCAGGTACATACCAAAATACTAATAAGAATTAATTCAAAGTAACTCAATTTTTGGGAATGAGACATCACAGACAGACTTCATACTAATATTATAAATGTGAAAGTTTTTGATGGATGGATGTTTGTTACAGTTTGTAGCCTTAACGGCTGAACGGATATGGGTGAAATTTGGCATAGACGTAGAATATAATCTGGAAGAACACATAGGGTACTTACTTTGTTTTTTTTTTAATTCTACACAGACGGAGTCACAAGCGAAATCTAGTCTTAAATAAAATCATAAAATATGGACCCTAGATATCAGATATTTTATAATATTTCTTACAAACATGAGAATAAAGAACGACTACGCAGTGTCTATGTATGGTAAACAATTTTATACGTAAAGTAAATCAGGAAACCCTACAAACGTAAAGTAGGAAAGTCGACCGGTTTCTTTTAATTAGTTTTGCTTGAAATACTAGAAATATTTCACTGTATTATCTTTGCTTTGTAATCTCTAAAAATACTTTAGTTTATAATCATTTATATTCTTATCTTATTTTTTACTAGTAATATTACTAGCTGTTCCCGTGCGGCTTCATCCGCATGAAATTATGAAAATTGTATTTTATTGTTTACATTTGTCAAATTATCAATAGCAAATGTCAAAATGACATCACATGATCTTGGCAATCTTACTTCCTTGATGTTGGCATCAACTTATGGTCTCTTTCCCACATTAGGGTTTTTATCCAAAATATTTACCCCCTATGTTTAATTGCTTGAAAATATAGAGCCTAAAGCATGACGTAAGTGTAGAGATTTTTATTAAAGAAATAATTAATCAAAAATATGGTGTAATTGCTGACATCTCTGGCAACAAAGAAGTGTGTGTTTACGTTTTATTATAATAGTATAAAGTATAATAGTATAGATAAATGCGAAAGTTTAGATGGATGTTTGTTAGAGTTTGTAGCCTAAACAGCTGAACGTATCTCTATGAAATTTGGCATACATGTAGAGGATAGTCTGGACCACATAGGCTAGTCAGTTTTGTTTTTTCTTAATTCTACGCGGAAGGTGTCGCGGGCGAACTCCGTCTGAGTGGAATTACTTTCTTTTATATTTATATTATTTACATAAACATTTTTTTAAATTGATTTCCTTAGCGCCTAACACGTTGACTGCCATCGACTGGCTATTCAAGACTGTATAGTAACTTTGATGATGTTTATAGGTTCGTTTGGAATCAATCGGTGCGGAGGACATCGTGGACGGCAACCCTCGTCTGATCCTCGGCCTCATCTGGACCATCATCCTGCGTTTCCAGATCCAAGAGATTGAAATTGACGTAGTAAGTAAACTGCCATCTAGCGATATTTTTTTGACCGACTTCCCAAAAGAAGGAGGTACTCAATTCTGTATTTTTTTATGTTGGAGCATAATTCCACCGCTAGTGGACCGATTTTGATAATTCTTTTTTATAAGGAAGGTAATGCTTGCAGGTGGGTCCAATTTTGTTTGATTTTTGGAGTCAAAGACTACGACGCAATGTTATTAAATTACGACCAATAATCGTCATAGATGTAGAGGATAGTCTGGAAGAAAAAATAGGCTACTAACTTACGCGTTTTTAATTCTACGCAGACGGAGTCGTGGGCGAAACCTAGTGGTATTATAAATGCGATAGTTTAGATGGATGTATGTCAGAGTTAACCGAAACTGCTGAACGGATCTTGATGGTTGTCATAGATGTCGAGGATAGATGTCTGAACACAAAAAAAACACAAAAGCTACTTGCGGCGAAAGCTAGTAAAGATATTTCATACGTTTGTTAACTATCTCTTTCCAACCAGGATGAAGAGAACGAGTCATCAGAAAAGAAATCAGCTAAGGATGCTCTCCTGCTGTGGTGTCAGCGCAAGACGAGCGGCTACCATGGAGTACATATACACAACTTCACAGACTCCTGGAGATCAGGACTTGGCTTCAATGCACTCATACATGCACACAGGTTGATACTATCTTACTAATATTATAAATGCGAAAGTTTAGATGGATGGATGTTTGTTAGTTTGCAGCCTAAATGGCTGAACGGATCTCGATGAAATTTGGCATAGATTTAGAGAATTTTCTAGAAGAACACATAGGCTACTCACTTTTGTTTTTTTTAATTCCACGCGGACGGAGTCGACGGCGAAAGCTCGTTAAAAATATTTCTTCTTTCAGTCCACTCCCGAATGTGTCTTAACCATGACTTCTTATTCCTTATAATATGAGCTTCTTCAACTTTTATTTCGATTCAGCAAATGCCCGAAATATGCAACTTTGAATTAAAATATTTATATGTTTGTAATCAATAAACTCAAAAACTACTGCACCGATTTCAATATTTCTTTCACCATAACATAGGTGTATTATCCCATAATGATATAGGCTATTAATATATTTAAAATTGTCTAACTTTAGTGGTGGCTCAGTGGTTTGAACACTTGACTTGTAATCTACAGGTCTTGGGTTCGAAACCTGTACCAATGTGATTTTCGGTTTTTCGAATTTCCATAAGTACATGATTTACCCAACGTTCTTACGGTGAAGGAAAACATCGTGATACAACCTGCACATATCGGCGAAGAAATTCAAAGATATGTGTGAAGTCAACCAACCCGCAGTAGGCCAGCGTGGTTGACTATGGCCTAGTCACCCCTTATTAGGGTAGGCTCCGAGCCCCTCGGTGGGGACGTATAGTGAGCTGGTGATGATGATGATGAACTTTAGTGTGTTAATTGTAATTTAGACCGGACTTGTTCCGTTGGGCGGAGTTGCCGCAAACTGACCACGTGGAGACTCTCAACCACGCCTTTGATGTCGCACACAAACATCTTGGTATACCACGACTGTTGGATGCTGAGGGTAAGCACATTAATTAGGATTTTTAATTGATTGTCACATGTTTCCTTTAGATATCCGATGTTAAACATAGGCTATGTTTTTTTATTTATTTACACGCGGCCAAAGTCGCGAGCAACAGCCAGTTGCAAATAAAATTGGTCTTTACGCAATTGCAACAAGGTTAAAATTTAATTTTACAGGTATATTGCCTTATAAAAAAGACACAAAGTAAAATGAAACCTTGTTACAATAGCATAAAGCTTATTTTTTCTGGGGTTAAAAATCTCTGATCCTTTCCTTTGTGTTGGAAGTTTCTTATGTTATTGTTACGCAGATGTGGACACAAGCCGTCCTGATGAGAAGTCGGTGATGACGTATGTCGCCAGCTACTACCACACCTTCGCACGGATGAAGAACGAGCAGAAGAGCGGACGCAGAATCGCCAATGTTAGTATAACGTTATAAAATAGGTCTTAATATGATACCAGGTCTTAAACACCTGGTACGGATGTAATATACAGGGTACAGAAGGAACTGAAAGAATAGAAAATCTTTGCTGGTTTTTAAAGATTCTATAGGAACTGGTTTGTTTGTTTATTTGTACAAAAAAATTATGGGGTAAACAGAGATGGTAAATGCAATGTTTAGAAAGTCAAAATTATGAATGATTAGAATTTAAAAAAAACTTAGGTGGTGACGAAACGAAAAGCCACTAGAATTCGCCAAAATAGCGAAGAGATCGCTGCCATTATCGTATAGTAGGGGATATTTCCCCTACTCATGCGACTCATTCCGCCAAACCTAGTTTTTCCCATCCTTCCCTTAGACAAAATAAGTGGAAAGGGGAAAAGGACTAAAACAGATATATTTTTTTTATTTATACTAAAATTATAAAGAGGAAAGATTTGTATTTTTGTATGTATTCTATTCACGTAAAAACTACTGGGCCGATTTTAAAAATTCTTTCACCGTTAGAAAGGTAATTTATCTGTGAGTGACATAGGCTATATTTCTTAATTCCACGCGTACGAAGCCGCGAGCAACAGCTAGTAATGTAAGTTGCGTCGTTTATAGATAATAGGGCAGATGATGGACTGCGACAGCCGCAAGGGCGAGTACGGGCGGCTGATGAGCGCGCTGCTGGAGTGGATCCGGCTGAAGATCCTGGAGCTGAACGGCCGCGAGCTGCCCAACTCGCTGGACGGCATCCAGCGGCTGCTGCTCGCCTTCAAGCAGTACCGCACCGTGGAGAAACCGCCCAAGTACGTACAAGACGCTGTTGGCACGTCAACTACAACAGTAGACTATGACACCATGTGCCAACTGAAAAGATTGTGAAAGTGAAAAGCTATAAGCAAATAAGCACGTTGTTAGCTTGTCGTTTTTAGCTTTTGTTGTCATTTTGCATTTTATAGTTTTACAAATGTATACAATAAAATAATGTTTTTATATGCGGATGAAGCCGCACGGAAACACATAGTTATGTTTGTACTAATATTATAAAGAGGAAAGATTTTTAATTTTTGTATGTATTGAAATAACTCAAAAAATGGGCAGATATAAAAAATTTCTCTCACTATTAAAAAGCTACGTTATCAGTGAGTGAAGTAGACTATATTTTTAAATACTCGCAGCGAAGTCGCGAGCAACAGCTAGTTACTAGATAAAATCAAAAAGTCTTGTTTGTTATAGAAGAACGTACATTCTAACAATTATTTTTACTTAAAATATGTGTGTTTTTCAAGTAATACAACTTACTTCTAGATACAAGGAGCGGTCGGAGGTGGAAGCGCTGTACTTCCACATCAACACGATGCAGAAGAGCCTGGTGGGGGAGGCGTGGGCTCCCAACGAGGGACATCTGCCCCAGGACCTGGAGCGTGCCTGGCAGAACCTGGAACAGGTCACAAAATCATATATGCCGGGAATTAAAATGTACAATCAGAGAAATTCGCGGTGTCATAGGTTACATTGCCTTGTTTCAACGCAACGAGACATAATTAGTTAACAGTGAGTGTAAACGAAGGGATAATCAAAAGAATCTTGCCGTTTATACCGATATTTTCGCACAGACATAAGCTGCGTTGTATTAGTGTTGCCTACTGCGGATGCCTACCCTTAAAGAATGGAGAAGGAGACACAAATTGTAGTGTTTCTTTATTAGTCTTTTAACAATAGTATATCAGTAGTATAAATTATTCACAATATATTTTGTGTACATGTGCCGTCTTTTCTTCATGCCTTCTTAGCTGTCAACTGTCACTGTCACTTTCACTGTGTTACACAAATAAAGAGGATATTTCCCCTTTCTATGCATCTCCTCCACAGTCAAATCCACGTTTCCTTTCTATTCTAATAAGAGAATAAGGATGGGAAGGAAAAGATACTAAAATTGGGTTCAAACGATTGTAGCTTTAAAGTGGAACACCGACAATTTCCACGACAGTACATTTAACAAACTATACTGAAGGAAAACATCTTGATATTTGCACATGTATGTGGGATCTGGAATATGAATGGATCTAGAATGTGATAGAATGTTCTAGAAACATAATGTTCCACAGGCGGAGCACGCACGCGAGCTGGCGCTGAGGACGGAGCTGCTGCGTCAGCAGCGACTGGAACAACTCAACTACAAGTTCAATACGAAGGTATCTTTTTATATTTATACTAATATAACTAGCTGGTGCGACTTCTTCCGCATGAAATTAAAAATAGCCTATGTTACTCTCAGATAAATTACCTTTCTAACGGTGAAAGTATTTTTAAATTTGGACCAGTAGTTTTTGAGTTATTTCAATAATAAAAGTACAATTATTGCCTCTTTTCTTACTAATATTACGAGTATAAAGAGGAAAGATTTATTTTTTGTATGTACTGGAATAATTCAAAATGTTCTGGGCCGATTTCAAAAATTCTTTCACCATTAAAAAGCTACCTTATCGCTGAGTAACTTAGGCTATATGTTTTACATTGGATATAGACTATTTTTTTCACGGTGATACTTTGTCTGTCAGTCTGTGCTGCGCAAGGGGTACCTGAAGGAGATGATCCAGGTGTTATCAGACCCTCGCTATGGCTCCAACCTGGCTCAGGTCGATGCCACCGTCAAGAAACACGAAGCCATCTCCGCTGATATACTCGCCAGGTATAGCAAATACCTACTTTATACTAGAACACTCTAGAAGATCAATTTCTTACTTTATCCTCTGTGACTATCAGGACGGAGCGCTTCGAGGACCTGTCCGCGATGGCAGGCGAGCTGGTGCGAGAACAGTACCACGGCGCGGAGGCAGTATCCCGCACCGAGCAGGCAGTGCTGGCACGCTGGCGTG